ATCTATCTATCTATCTATCTGCTACCGTTAATATAAATGACAGTTTGTGTATTTCATGTAAAATAACGGCAGTCTGCAGTAAAGTGTGTCCGGTGTGTGGAGCTCCGGTCCCCGCTGCAGTCAGCCTGCTCTGCCCGCAGTTGTTTACCAGCAGCGGGGAGAGCTCGGAGGGTTTTACCCGCCTACCAGTCACATCCAGACGGCTCCGGATCCCTCCGACATGCCGCCGTCCGTCGGCCCGCGGCTCCCTGCGGCCGCTCCGCTGTGTGCAGCCTCGGAGCTTTTACACAAACATTGAAGAAAAGTTGGTAAAAAAGTCTCTGAAAACTAGTTTAACTCCGTCTGAAGGAAGACAGGACCTTCCCTTTCCTCCTTCCTCCCCCTTCCTCCCCCTTCCGCTCTGCCCACTTTAACCTCTTGCTACCGGTCATATTCACGCTCCTTCTGTCTGAACTGTACTTATTATAACATTTAAATATATATATATCATTCATTTAGTGTTCAGTTAAAGACACATTTTATTCTCAGACATTGTTCAGTTAAAAGAGATTTTAAAATAAAACTATTTATTAATTGTATGGAAGCTGATTGATGCCACAACATAAAAAGATAAACGGATCAATATCTCGTTATAGAGTGAAAATATACTTCCTTATAACAATATACTTTTAACGTTATAATGTGTTTGTTTTTCTTTTCCTAGATTGGCAGCAATAGGCTTCCGTAGAATTGAATGCATTGATTTTGGGGCTTTTCCAAGCAAACACTGATACATGTGATTGATTAACCAGCAGACGTCTCCGGCCACCCTGTGAATGTGTGAATGTGAAAACTAACATTATTTATAAAATCATTAATCAGTTTCATACTTTGTGTTGAAGTTAAATTGAATAAATATTAATTTATATTTTCTGTTAATTTCATCCCAACATCGCAGTTTACTGTCAGTAAGAAAAGTTAATATCAGTTTATTTATTATTAAACTCTGTTAAAGTAAATGTTTTATAAGTATAGCAGTAACCATAGTAACAGTGTGTGATTGTGAATATTGTGTTTTATGTATTTATGGATGTACAGAACAAACTGAATGCAGGTGATGTTTACATTTTTATTTCCATGAATATAAAGTAAAATACCATCAATAACCTGCGATCACTTCAATAATAACAGGATGTTATAATTATTAATAATTATTAATGATGATGCATAAAGTCAGTCAGTGGTAGAAGTATCGATAACCGGCTCCATTAAAGGTCGTTCACACATTATAATCACAGCTTCATTTATAAAGTAACAGATTTATATTCACATAGACACAAACAGCAGTTTGTATTAGAGCTAAATATTCTTAAATGACCTCTGTTGGTGTTTATTGATTTTATTACTGATGCATTTATGTGTAATCAGTATTAACTAGTGTAACTGTGTCATATAATCAATAACAACAAGCAGCAGATAAACAGAGAAAGGTTCAATATTTCTATAAAGGTTAAACTCACATCCCAGCACAATGTGTAAACAAACAAACAAACAAACAGTTTCTCAGTGTCTATGTCAGTTCTGGTTCTGGTCTCTCGGGGAGGCAGTGAAGGGGTTAAAGGCGGTCGAGCCTCCCGGTGTCCGGTTTCACCATTTTTTGGAGATGACGACTGGAAGCAGATGGAAGATTTTAGGGGATTCTGGGAACAGCAGACAGTTCGAGTCACAACAACAAAGAAAACACAAACTGACTCCAATAATCTTCCAATAATCAATAATCCTGCTTCATGTGCTCTGTGGTTCTGTGTTATTTACAACGTACATGAAGTTTGACTCATTTCCTTTAATATCTCCCGTCAGCAGAGCTCCAACAGTCGATTTATTCATTAATGAATCAATCAGAAAAATTAATCTGCGACAGTTCTCATTATTGTTTGAGATTAATAGAGATTAAATGAATTACTTTTATTTTGACTAAATAATATAATATTAAATACAGATTGCTTCATATCATCCAACATAAATTACCTTTTTAATTATTAACAATTTAATATTTATGTATGTTGTGTCTTTTTCTAGCAAAACAACAAAATA